GTTAACACCATTTTGTGAAACAACCGTACAGCCAGTACTTTTAAAATATAAAACAGGGCTTCTTATCATACCCAAGTATCAATAATTATTATCAACACATGATTGTCATGTCATTTTTGAGAGTTTTATGGATTTTATTCTCACCTACTTTGTATGTAGACTGAGTAGATCCCAATAATCTTTCTTAGAGATGTTTCGACACTGCTGCATTTTGTGTAGGAAGGAAAATATATTCCGGCAACAAAACCAAATTTATATAGACAACAGAAAAAACAAACAAACAAAAACCTTCCCCCAAAAACAAATTAAGAACAAATTACACAAGGAGGAGGACGAATCCAAGGCCTTCAGCATCGAGCCAGACCGGACTAGCTGAATCCGTACTGATAAAAAAACGAATACCCAGTTCTACTTTAGCACACTGATTACCTGCAGGCCTTACTGAGATATTCAAGTGATAGATTCGGCCCACGGAAACATGTGAAATTGTTTTTTTATTGGAAGTTAAAAATAAATCTCAAACATGAAGTGAGAACAGGTCTGAATCAAACCTTTTTGTCCAGTCATGTGTTTGTTTATTGTACATAGAACAAAAAAAAGCACATTTAAATTCCAGGTCTACAAAAACAATTTCAGAACATGTATGTGTAAAAGATGTGTAGTTATACTTTTTATGTTTAGTTACGCTTACTATACTACAGTTAAAGAATTCATAATAAACATATTCATGATGCACTCACTTCATAAATCATGAGCCAACTTTATAAGTTAAAAATATCAGTAGTCGGGTCAGCTGTGTCTCTCTGTTGTCTAATAATCTGTCTGTATGTGAAGGAACCTGCAAGTTAGCACAGTCTACTTATGTACTCAGATTGCTAAACCACCTTATATTTTTTGTACTTCATGTTTGAGGGACACTTACACAATCTGTCTAATTTGTCAGTGAGTGAGAGGCGGGCCTTTTGAATCTTTTTAGCTTCAACTGAATGGCGCAACCATCACACTTTTGTTTACTTTTATTTACACGTCATGTTCCCTAAAAACTTTTATAAAGTTGATCTGTTAGTCTGGCCGTTCTCTCTTGTATGTTTGCCCCTATTGTTAGAGGTATCCAGTGATTGGATGTGCTACACAGTATTATTTGCATAAATACAGATGATTGGCCAAATCGTGGTAACAGGCGGAGCTTATTGAAAGTCAGAGAGGAACCCTGAGTGATGAAGACTTCACAGAAAAGCACATGCAGTTTTCTGACGTTAGCACACTAAGACTATACTTTCAGGGATCATTTCTATAGTTTCTAACTTGAGAAATGTGTTTCTAAAGTGTTTGGTCTCGCTAACCACGATGATGAGT